CCTGCGGGCCGGGACTGGAGTCTCCTGCTGGTGGCCCCAGGCCTTCCTTGCCTTGTAGGCCCATCACCCCACCCCCGCCGTCCTCTCTTGTTGGGCACCGGGCACAGTGGATTAGGGGCCTGCCTCCTGCAGCGTGACCCATCGTAACTAGTTACATCTGTCACGACCCTATTTGTAAGTGAGGGCCCGCTCTGAAGTACGGGAGTTAGGGCTTCATCTGTTCCAGGAGACACCGTTGAACCCGTAACTGCTAAGGCCTGTGAGGCTATCCAGGCAATGAATTCCAAGGCAAGTCTTTGTCTTATACACATAAACATTAGTTACTTGCCATCCTACCACCGAGATGTGGATAAACTGGAGCTAAGTTCAGGAGGAATCTAAATAGTTAAAATTAAGCGCTGTTTGAAACAAAGGTGTGTAACAAAAATCCCCAGACAATGCCTTAAAACTTAAGGTTTTTTAAACAGATCCCAGGGTTTATGTCATGGCTTGATTTCTTGTTGCCCAAAAGATTTGGATTTCCTGCATGGAAATTGCTCTTAAAGTTCTGTAGTACTTGCGTGTTAATTTACAGATGTTACAATAAATCTTTCTCTTGGTGTGAATTTTTTTCTAACCTAAAAGTGATTTGGAATTCAGTTTAGTGAATTCCTTAGTAACCCAACTGAGTAACGGTCCTATTGGTAAATAGGTAGCCATGGTTAAAATGACACGTATTTCTGTGTGGTTTAGAAATGGATTTTGAGAACAGTTCCGAAACAGATCAAGTGTTTTTTAATTTTACTCCCTAGATAACTAGAACTATAGTTTTAAAGCAAACTGATTATGATTTTTAAAAATATATATTGTGCTGAACATCAGAGTGTGCTTGTCCATGAAACTTGTCTCCCTCAAACTAGTCTTTGTTCCTATAGCAGGGGTATTGCTGAATGCAGTCAAAAACTAGTCATGGGTAGATGTTAGTTACTAAATTTAGATCTTCATTTGGACTTAAGTTATGTTGGTAATGTGTGAATTCATGTTGGAATAAGTGTGGTTTTTTTCTAAAGTTGCTTTACATGTACATTACGTTCCATTTTATTTCATACCAGTCCTCAATTTTCTCAGGAGTGTTTTGATGGAGAGCATAGATCTCTCAGGATCTATAATTGTAAATGGGTTTAAATCACAGGACTTGGTATTTATTTCCAAATGCATATGTCTTTGAAAATCTATAAATCATAAATTACAGTGGCCATGAATCTAAGGAATATGTAAGTGGGTAGTTCTTCTCTGTATTTGATCATACCAGGAAAATTTCAAGAAAGTTGTTAAAATGTTTCTGCCCTTGGAAAATATCCTGTGTTGTCTAAAGGATGATAACTTGGTGTTTATTTTTCCAGACATGTCTTTTACGATAATTAATTTCTGTACAAGGCCCTACAAGTTGTATAGCATATGTCTTGCCTGCTATCGACTAACGCTGGCCTCTACCTGTTGTAAACGTGTAAACGTGCATCTTCATGCACACACGCTCCATTCTGTCTCTACGCATACTGAAAGGGCAGTCCTCCTCAGGGAGTGTCTTCTTCAGAAACTTCTCCCCAGCTGCACACGCCTTCTTTCTTAGCTCCCAGCAGTAGCCAGGTTTGGAAGAGCCTGCTCTGGTTGAATTCTTGGGGACACTCACGCCTGCAAACAATCAGTTCCTTAGGATCCTGTGGTTAGTCGTAGAGGATGGCCGGCCTGCCCCCTGCACCGCTCAGGAGAGTCTTCTCTTGCACACCACAGGCCTTGTACACAGCACGGCCCTCTTCGGTGTGCAAGGCTGAATCTTGGGAAATTGTCCGTTTTAACCCACAGAAGCTCTATTTTCATACGACTCAACTGAATAGCGTGACATAAGTGTTACGAGCTAAGCTCTGGAATCAGACTTCCGTATTGACCTGACCCTTTCACTTTCTGGGGACCTTGGCACGTGACTGGAATGTCCTCAGGCCGCCTCTTCGTATCTACAGAGAAACCAGAACCTGCTCCTCCCACACCGTAGGCCGCTTTTGAGAGTGAGAAGGGCGTAACCTGTGGGAAGACCGGCAGGCTCTTCAGAAATGTCAGCTCCCTCTGCTGGGACAAGCATGGTTGCTTGTGTTTGCTGTTATTTTTCTTATTGACATAGACAGTCTGACCAAGCATGGAGTAAAAAGGCCTTGTGCAACAAGAAATGCACTGGGCTGTTCTATGCCAGCATCACCAGATCAGCGGGATGGGTGTAAAAATGCTCTGAATATTTTGTATGATTCAAGGTGCCCGGAGACCTCCATGGCGCGGGTCCCTGGGCACAAGAGGAAGTTATCTGAGAGTCTGAATTCAGACCCGCGCTTTCAGTAGCCAGTCTGCCTTCGGACGACAGTGGGAAAGGCGACATCTTTCACCCTGACACCTGTCGCTTTCGCCCTGGGTCGCTTTAGTACTTGGTTCATGTATGTGAACTACTCTTCCTCCGTTACTAGTAATGCCTTCTCTTTTATGCAAGTTGGAAATTTACTCATTTTTAAGATAATTTTCGAAGGAGTGATGTGCACTTAAGAGGAAATGCAGAAGTTGTTTATAAATGGAATAGGTAAAGATATTTCCATTTAGGGCGGGAGACAAAGAATGGCATAAACACATCATTGTGGACATTTTCTCCTTCAGAAGTTGGCCATGCTATGAGCTGGGGGTGAACTGTTAGGTCCTGGAGTTACTCTCCCCCTCATGCACTTGGACACAGAGACACAGATTTGTGTATGTTCACGTGACATTTTGCTATTTAAAATAGCTTATCAATGTTTTATTTCACCAAAGAGACCTCTTCTCTTTCCTTTTTTTTTTTTTTCTAGAAGGCCAGTAATGATGCTAGTCAGAGTGACACGAGTGTCTCCTCGTCAGAACCAAAGAGCAAAAGCGGTCTCCATTTGCTGGCCCACGAAACAAAAATTGGATCTTTCTTAAGTAACAAAAGTCTAGATGTCAAAGACAAAGCTGGTCTTTGTCCAGATGAAGATGATATGGAAGGGGATTCTTTCTTTGATGATCCCATTCCTAAACCAGAAAAAACTTACGGTTGGTGAGTAAACTCTTTTTGGATTATCAAACTAGGGCCTTAAAAATACAATTTCTAAATATTTTATATTTAAAAAATGAGCTACTAAAGCTTCTGTAATTATTGAATATGTAAGTCTGATTTTCTGTCCTTAAAGCCTTTTATGTTGTAAAATAATTCCGGCTGGTAAAAAGTGTAGATACTCATAATTTCTGTAGGGAATTGTAGACTGAGTGCCTGTCATGTGCCAGGTGCTGTTTCAGGCACAAGCTGTGCGGTCAGAACACAGGCAGAGGCCCCAGCCTTCAGAAGCTTACAGTCCTGTGGACAGAGGCAACTAGAAGTGAGAACCCCCACATGCCGTCTTGGGTGGATGCAGCCAGAGCGACGGGTCGGAGCAGGGGTGGGGGCGGTGAGTGTGTGGAGGTGCGTGCTGTTCTGTTACAGCGTTGGGTCAGGGAGGGCCTCCCTTCGAGGGGCTGGGTGAGCAAAGAGCCCAAGTTTGTGAGAGAGTCAGCCCGGCGGACACCAGATACCGGAGCTCCACGCAGCGCAGGCAGAGGTGAGCGACAGGTCAGAGAACGGCTAGGGGTGGTTGTGGAGACGGACGGGGTCGGGGCAGCGCTGACTCCAGCAGGAGGGGGCTTTACCCTGAGGGGCACTGGGGGCCCCAGGGACTGAGCAGCGGAGTGACGAGCTCACTGGGCTGCTGGGTCTCCAGCTGGGAAGCTGTCAGGATTCTCCAGGTGAAAAGATGGCAAAAGTGGTGAGAAATAGGTGGTTTGGGGATGTCTTTTGAGGTTCGCTCCAAAAGGATTTGTTGCTAAGTGTTAGAGAATAAAGTGACATCAAGGGAAATTCAGGGTTTTCAGCTGAGTAACCAGAAGGTGGAAAACACCACTGACAGGTGAAGCATGGAGAGCAAGGTTGGGCTGCACAGGTGGGCCAGGTGACAGTCTGGAACTCACTTCTGATGGGTCAGGTGTGGGAAGGTTGCTAATGCACAGGTGAAGCCGGCTGCAGGGAAGGGGTCTGGGCATGAGGGGAGAGGTGTCCGTGTTTGATCCTGCTGCCGGTGTAGCCTGGGGGTGGTCACCCGGGAAGTGAGTGGCACCTGGAGGTGAGCGAGGGGAGGAGGGAGGAGGAAGAGGGAAGGGGACCGAGAGGACCCAGGAGAGAGGTGTTCTGGAAGGAGGAGGCCAGAGTGAGTCCTTGAGCTAAGTTGTGAAAGCCAGGGCGCACAGCTTGGAGGCAGGGATGATGGGATTCTGGGCTTGGGGGGGGGGGGGGGGGGGGGGGGGGGGTAGGGGCAGGGTATCAAAGGATTAGAGTGGGTTTAGGAAAGGATGGGGGGAGGATTGTAGGTGGGGAGTGCTTTCCTGGTGAGTTGTGGTGTTCAGGGGTGCGGAGGAGCAGGGTGGGGAAAAATAGCGGGAAATGACCGTGTGCATGTCTGTTGAGAACAGTCCTGCATTAGAGAGGAGATGGAGTGATGTGCAAGGGGGTGCTGGGTGCTTGGGGGCACAGGGCAGCCCCTTGAGGAGGCTGTCTCCTGGAAGGAGGGAGGTGTGGGCGCACTTTGTGGGCAGGTGGGGGCGGTGTGCGGGCAGCAGCCTGGGAAGGTTCCCACCTGAGGGGGGGGTGCACGGCAGGGTTGGAGGGGAGGCCTCAGAGAGGTAGGAAGTGGCGGGAGGGGGTGCGCAGGGGGGCAGAGCTCAGGGCTGTTGGGGAGGTCAGCTGGCGGGGCTGTGCAGGACACCTGTGCTGTCCCCTGCCTGCATTGCTGGGCATTGGAAGGGGCTTCTGATAAAAGTCACGGACGCTGAAGATGACAAACAGCGATATCATTTGAGAGCTGAGCGGATTTCTCACTGATAACGTGCCCCGTGGATTTGTGATGACGCTCAGCCTGCCTCGCCTTGTAGGTATTCTTGATGGTTTTGAGTCCACGTAACGTATAACCTGTCTTTCCCAGCACCCTGTGCTGCACGTACAGTGTCTTCACGTTGTTTATGTCTTAGTGGCAGAACGTAAGCGTGACCTTTAACTATACACTTGTTTCTTGTTAGGAGAAGTGAACCTGGTAAGCAAGCAGGAAGCCTTGCATCACTCTCTGACGCGCCCCCCTTGAAAAGTGGACTCAGCTCCCTTACCGGAGCCCCCTCATTGAAAGACTCTGAAAGTGAGTGCCTGGAAGCCCCCGGGTCTCCGTACTGAAGACACGGACTTGGAGGACTCAGGATGTGTTTTCTCTTAAATGCTATGTGGTCATTGTTTATTGTTTAGGAAAAGCCCATGATTTTACCAGTGGTAGTTCCTGTTCTTTGCTCTTTAACAAGGTTGTGTTCGCCTCATCGTCTGCCTTCTGTTTTTCCTGTGCCATCAAAATACTTTTTTTAGGAAAGTGACTTTTTAGCTGCCTTATATAGTAAACATCTTTAAATCATTTCTCTCTTGTTGGACATTTAGACTGACTTGAGTAGGATTTAAATTCAGTTCTTAAGAACTTGTTTTCTAGATTCTGTGATACCACAGTAATCATCATGTGAATGTTAAAATATTCGTCCTTTAGCTATTGGATCTGTCATAATCGTTTTTTTTCTACTTTGGATATTGGCATCACTTTCTTTTTCTTTTTTCTTTTTAATTTTATTATGTTATTGTTAGTCACCATACATTACATCATTAGTCTTTGCTGTGGTGATCCACGATCCGTTGTTTGCGTATAACACCCAGTGCTCCACGCAGAACGTGCCCTCCTTAATACCCATCCCCAGGCTAACCCATCCCCCCACCCCCCTCCCCTCTAGAACCCTCAGTTTGTTTCTCAGAGTCCATCGTCTCTCATGGTTCGTCTCCCCCTCCGATTTCCCCCCCTTCATTCTTCCCCTCCTGCTATCTTCTTCTTCTTCTTCTTCTTTTTTTTTTTAACATACAATGTTTGTTTCAGAGGTACAGGTATGTTTGATTTTTTTAAAATATTTTTTCATCATGATGAGTGTATGTTTTAATCCCCATCACCTGTTTCTTAAATTCCACATTCCAGTGAAGTCATACGGTATTTGTCTTTCTTTGACTGACTTCACTCAGTATTATACTCTGTAGCTCTATTTATGTTGTGCAGATGGCGAGATTTCATTCTTTGGGGTATGAATCTAACATGTTTACGTGTAGCAGAGAGGTGGGGTGTCAGGCAGACATGGAATGGCCATACGACTACAGTTTACTTCCTACCCCCTCCCCACACACAGATGGCACCAAGACCAAGGATTCGAAAGCACAGCCTTAAACGTGGAGATGTGTGTGTGAACTTCATTTACTAGATCATAGTAAATGTAGATTTCATCGACACCGTGTTCACAGCATAAATGTGAGATTTATTGAGAACATTTCCTAAAAAGCAGATCTTTATTAGGAAATTGTGGTGTGAATTTGCATAATTTTGCAGTATTTATTAACCTTTTTACATCACGCGTTGGGGCGGTAGGATTTTCCGGGCCAGGCGAAGGAGGTGATGGGTGGCTGCTTTTAGCCGTCTGGCAAACTTGCCACATGTTTGCTAATGCGTCCCATCAGTTTCCCTGTTGTCCTTTCTCCTGGTCTTTGTCACCTGCAGTGGGAGTCTAGCATGTCATGATCACATCACTCTTAGCACTGATCAGGGAAGAATGATGTGGACATTGAGCACTTGGGCCTGAAGAAGGAAAACCAGTGAGGTCAGTCGTGTAGATGGAATAGCAATTGAATTAGAGCAACGTTGAGAAGTTCAGAGGAAAGTAAAATCGATGAGAGTAATTAACTCCTACCCGGTGAGGCTTGTTACGGATGGTGACGCCGGATAGTTGGGCCAGAAAGTATTTTGATGGTCAGGTTCCAATAGAGACTACGTGTTTACGTGTGGTTACATGTGACCACAGGCATGCAGTGCATGACGCCAGTGTCATCAGAGCTTGTAATTCTTTCTTGGTGTTTGGTTTGGACGTTTTAGTCGTAAACCCTATGCTGAACAAAAGTGGCACAGTTTAGAGATTGTTGTATTCTCAAAAGTCAATTTATGTGAATATTTTTCCTTCACAGGTAAAAGAGGAAACACAGTTTTGAAAGATCTGAAACTGGTCAATGATAAAATTGGATCACTTGGATTAGGTAACTAGATTTCTAATTTTAGCATTGATTGCCCGAAGGTGATTATTTTTTTAGAATAAAATCTAAATTGAAGTGGCTTAGCCTATAGTGAGCACTTCGTAATTAGCTGTTTGGATGGTCTTTGTGAATCCAGAGTTACTCCATGTGCCGGGGGTGGATAAAGCAGCAACCACAACAGACTTTCTTTGTGGAGCTCGGACTCTTGTAGGGAAGATCTGCATCAAACAGGTCCCTACAGATACTTGGGGTTGAGAGTCCGTATGCACTGGTGGGAAAATGGATAGTAGGGTGACTTACCCTAGCCTAGGCATTCCGGAAAGGCCTCACCCAGGAAGTGACTTCTCTGCCAAGACCTGATGGGTCAGGGCCAAGGGGAGCGGTTTCAGCTCAGACTGATGACAGTTTGTGCGGAGGCAGTCACTTTTTTTTTAAGATTTATTTGAGAGAGTGCGTGAGTGGTGGGAGGGGTAGAAGGGGAGGGAAAGAATCTCAAGCAGACTCCACTGAGTGCGGAGCCAGATACGGGGCTCCATTCCGTGACCCTGAGATCATGACCTAAGCCGAAACTGAGTCAGTCGCTCAACTGACGACACCACCCAGGCGTGCCCCCCTCCCCCCAGCGCGCTTCTTCCTGCAGGGATTGGATGTTACAGAAAATAGAAACGACACATCACTTCCTTGTTCTCCTCCACTCCTGCCCCTCCCCCTTTGCACTTTGGTTAAAGTCCTGAGCATGACGTTCTAGGCCTTCGGTGGCCCCTGCCAGCCCTTCTCTTCTTCCCGCCTCTTGTCTCCCCCCTCCCCCCTCCAGACTCATTATTTTGAGGGTGTATTGGTTTCCTCACTGTTTTCCAAACCACTGCACCCTTCCTGAGTCTGGGCCTTTGCATGTGTTTCTTCTTGGAACCTGTGTTCCCCAATAATTTCTGTCTGGTACCTTCTTTAGGTTTCCCCTCAGAGAGCTCTCTCCAGGCCCTCCAACGGCATCTGGTTTGTCTGGCTGTCGGCTGCCTCTTTCCTTCCACTGGTGCTCCTTGAGGCTAGAAACACCACTTCCTCTAGTACTTCAGGGGTCCTAGGAGTCGCACACATATTTGACAAATGGACAAAGTAATCATGGGCTTTATCGGAAGAGGATCATCTTGTCTGACTAGTCTAGAACTTGAATGCCCTCCGGGTGCGTCTGTGTAGACGTGGTCCGGTCTGACACTGGGAAGGACTCAGGAGCATCCAGTGTCCTCCGAGCCCCGCCGGCCGCTGAGCCGGGCCTCCTCCTCATGGTCTGCACTCTGCTTCTGGCAGCCACACACATGCCCGTGTGTCCTCCACGTGCCGGCCATCCCTGGGAGATGGCTCTCGGGGGGCCTTTCCCTGTCCCTCAGGTGATGCAGAGGGGGAGGGGGACTTGGAAGTCTCATAGGTGCTCGTGCTGCATGGTCAGACGCTGCTGACGCTGCTCCGTTCGTCTGCAGCCCTAGCCTCATCCCGTCGCTGTCTGTGGAGAGCAGACTGTGTCCCAGGCTTGGGTCCAGCACTTCGCCTGCATGGATCCTGACGTGAGCCCTGTGTTTGGTGTGGGTTTGGCCGTCTTCACAGCTGAGGAAACGGCCAAGGAGGGTTACCTAGTTCTCCCAGGGGCTGACAGCTCTTCACAGGTGGAGCTGGGATTTGAACCCCGTTGCGTCTCAGTGAGATGCTCCTGTTTGCTTTGCCCTGTTGCCTCTTCACACTTCGTGATCCGTTAAAATTTTATATACTATGCGGAGTTGAAAGTATCAGTAACAGGGACGGGACACCTGGGTGGCTCAGTCGGTTAAGCATCTGCCTTCGGCTCAGGTCATGATCCCAGGTCCTGGGATCGAGCTCCGCATCCGGCTCCCTGCTCGGCGGGGAGCCTGCTTCTCCCTCTGCCAGCTGCTCGTGCTCTATCTCTTTGATATTTCTCGCTCGCTCTCTCGCTCTCTGACAAATAAAAAAACCTTAAAAAAAAAAAAGTGTCAGTAACAGTTATGATAACTTGCTCTTATCATGAATATAATATCATTTAATATCAAATGACTTTATAAATGGTAAACATACAATGCAATTAAGCTTTTAGAGACTTGGAATAAAAGACTGGGTATTAACTACATTTTATGACATTTTATTGTTTCCTAGGCAGTTTATTTACTTTCATATCACATATGTTAAAAATACTATTTCTGATCCTGGCGACTTCTTTTTTACTGCTGCCATATAATTCGTTAATGTAGTTTTTCCTGAAGGAAATGTACGTGTGTGATCACAGATAAATTGTGGAGCGTGTTGGTATAAACATAACGTATCTTTTCTTGAACTTACCAGGGACTGGAGAAGAAGATGACTACATTGATGATTTTAATAGGTGAGAAACGTAGTTGGGCAACAAATACAGTGTAAACAGTTTCTGACACAGGAAGTAGGACATAATTCCATTTGTGCTCATTTTAGTGTATTAGACTCTCCTGTTGGTACTGAGTGCAGATGGGGAGAAGACAGTTAATCCAGGATTGTACACTGGACTTTGAAGCCTGTTTCGGTTTGGCATTAGAATGTGTTGAACAAATGCATTATGTCCAGGAAACTTGACAAGAATGGGTCAAGCAGAGGCCTCGAGGAAGGGATGCAGAGTCGCTCAAGAGATGTCGGGTCGCCGGGATCCATGTGCTCCCCGCAAACGCGGTGGTGGGGGAGGGGGGAGGCACACACAACTTTAAAAATGGCCCTCTCCAGGTACTGCTCTGAGTCAGATGACATCGCTTAAGACATTGTTTCAGACCACTTTTCTACATACATAAGGACAGTATAATCCAATGAGTTGCCTAATAGTTTGGAAATATTTGTTATGGATACGATTACAAATTTTAAATTAGAGTCTGAGAATTTTATACAATTGACAGGGTTTTTTTCTCCCCCCAATTGGGAATTTATTTTTTAACAGAATAATTTATTGGGCGCCTGGGTGGCTCAGTCGGTTAAGCGACTGCCTTCGGCTCAGGTCATGATCCTGGAGTCCCGGGATCGAGTCCCGCATCGGGCTCCCTGCTCGGCGGGGAGTCTGCTTCTCCCTCTGACCCTCCCCCGTCTCGTGCTTTCTCTCTCTCTCTCATTCTTTCTCTCTCAAATAAAATCTTAAAAAAACCCCAATAATGTATTAGCTTTTTTTTGAGAAGCGGCACGATGTAGTAGATGAAATAGTAAAAATCTGGGTTTGCGTCTTCCTTGACCTTGTGTCCATGGTCACCTTTATGGATCTTCGTTTTCCAGTCTCTTGAAGTGACTCGCCTGTTTGTGGCTCACTAAGTCACTTTAAGGATCAAGTGAGATAATGTGCATGAAATTCATGAGATTTAATATCATTTTATTATATTTTATTTAAATGTTTATATTCAACGTTCTTTTTTCTTTTCTTTCTCAAACTAGTACCAGCCATCGCTCAGAGAAAAGTGAGCTGAGTATTGGTGAAGAGATCGAAGAAGATCTTTCTGTGGACATCGATGACCTCAATACCAGTGATAAAGTACGGTGTGGGCGTTGCCCGAGGAGTGCTGCTCCTGCCTGAGTCTCTTGCGGTGGTGGACTGTAGAGCTTTAACAAAATCCTGGCCCCGGTTCTGGAGTCAGAACTGGCCCACCCAGTGGTGTTAGTCGGCAGAAGCGAGTCGTCCCGTTTGGAGAAGTCAGGCTAGAAATCAGCGCAGGTATAAGAGAGGCCGTGAAGCTGCGTCTCAGTGGGCAGGTCACTCAGCCCGTGGGGGCGGTACACCAGAAGTGGACGCAGGCTGTGCAGTGAGGGGTCCGGCCCCGAGATCCACAGATGGCCTTTTTATGAGGCAGACAGCGGCGTGTACTTCCATGTGTGTCAGGAGAGGTCAGAGAGCCTCTCAGGATCTCCTGTCGTGCCCACGGAAAGCTGTAGCCGGGTCAGGCGAGGGCCTCTCGGGTTGTAGGTCGTTACAGCCTGGACGCGAACGTTGCTTTCCAGAATGAGGAGGGAGTCAGTGCTCGTGACCATCAAGGGATTAGCAGACGGGAAGGCCTTTGAGAGAGGTTATAATGAAATGTTAACAATGTTTCAGGGGAGGGGGGGATGGGTTAGCCTGGTGATGGGTATTAAAGAGGGCACATTCTGCGTGGAGCCCTGGGTCTTTACGCAAAAACAATGAATCATGGACCACTACATCAAAAACTAATGATGTATGGTGATTAGCATAACAATAAAAAATTAAAAAAGAAATGTTACAGTGTTTCATATACGAAATGAGATGTTAATAATGAAAACAGGTCTGAGCCAGCAACGTCTGGGCACATGTTCTTTCATGGACTGTGGTCCTTAGGCAAACTTTAACCTTCAGTCCTTGGCTGGTTTGTTCATGGAATGCAAGTGGGAATGCCTGCCTCCCAGAATTGTTGGCAAGGTTGAGTGAGAACTCCCGGCATGTGGTCAGCTTCCACGGTCTGCCCCTTACCTGGCACCTCGTGCCGGCCTCGGAGGCCACTGCGTGCTGCATTTAAGTTAGCAGAGGGGCTCCGGACGGGTTATTTTAGCAGGTTTTTGTATTGTTGTTAATGTAGAGTTTTGCTATTAGCTCAGTCTTTTGGTAATTCTCACAGATTTCAAAATAGGAAGAGGGTGAGGTAGAGGACTTTGGAATATGAAGCAGTTTGTAGAGTATAAGACATTTAAATTATAGCAATGTATTTTAAGGATTGTTGATGACTCTGCATTCTGATACTGGTTCTTTTTTTTTTTTCTTTTGGACAACCAAGCTTGATGACCTGACACAGGACCTGACTGTGTCCCAGCTCAGTGATGTTGCGGATTATCTGGAAGATGTTGCATAGATGTGAAAGAAGGAAGTCTTCTAATCAACAAAGGACAAAGGACTCTGATCAGTTCCATTTTTTTTTTTTCCAATCTTTCTTTGCTGGAATGTCTGCTCCCTGTTGGTGCCTTGTGTTTCAAAAAGACTGCAGATATTTTTTAAAAAATTTAAGTTTTCATTATACTAAACAAAAGCTTCCTACTTGAGCCCATGTGTGGAAGATACAATATTCTTAATTTAGTTTGGCTACACATTTCTCTGTGGAAGTTGATTATCTACAACTCAAATTCATTACAAGGAGTGAACCCATGAAAATATGCGTATTAAGAGCTAACTGAAAGGTGTCAATAAAGCTCTAGGTTCACACAGCTCTGTGTGTGTGTGTGGCTTTAGCCATCCAGACTCCAAGCGCATTTATTAGGCGGTTGTGCAGAGAGTTGGCAAAGTGGCCTGAAGCTTATCACCGAAAGATTTGATATGTCAGCTTTATTTTGTATTTCCTTCCATGTGGAAGGGTTGTTAGGCCAGTAAGCTTTTATTAAATACTCCTGTGTGTGCTAGTATTGCTTGTTTTGAGGAAATCTGGAGGTCGTTTTGACTTCTAATCCACGAATTGTCGCTGCCCGCAACCGTTGCCTCCCGTCCTTAGGAGAAGCTGTTGGTCACAGGCTCTCGTCTTTATTGTTGTAATTTATTGTGTGTAAAGATGCCTGGAAACATACTTGATACCAGAATGCATCTGAAGCCACCAAGCAGTGCTTTTATTTCCAGTCTGTAAATTGATTGTATTAAAATCCAAATTGGACTGTCACAGTAGTAGTGGCCTCAGACCACACGCGGAGTGCTGGGCTTTGTGCGCTGTCCGTATTTCCTTGCGTCCCGTCCGGATGGAGCCGGTGCTGGGCCTCGGGCAGCCTCGCTCCCTCTGCCCGCGCCGTGCTGCTGTCCCGGGGCGGGGGCGGGGGGTCGCTGGCCTGCACTGCTGGGGGTGCCGCGTGTGTGTTCCCAGGACTGTAAGTGAAGCTGTGAGCGTGTGCTACATTTTGTACTTTTTTATTTGAATTAAATTATGTTTTTTTATTAAAAGTCACCTTTATTAATAAAGAGTAAGCTAGACCTACTTGACTGATTGAGTAAGTGAGCGGACTTCGTCACTCCCGTAGTGCCAGTTTTTCATATCTGCCTCAGTGTTACAGAAGTCTTTGCCGGGCCCTCGTATGTGAAGGCAGCCATAACGAAAGGGTTGCGATTATATAACATGGCAGTGTGATTGTGTAACATCTGTGAACCTGAGCCACGAACACCCAGAGGAAGTCAGACTGAAAGTGGGCCAGCGCGACCTGGGAGCCGCTCTGTGGGCCTGCCCTCGCTTTGTGGGCTCTGACCTCAGTCCTGGTGGCGTGCCGTGTCCTGTGTGAGTACACAGCGCTGTGTGGAGATGTAATCTGTTGCTAAAAGTCCCCCAGTGTGCTTGTAAAATGCATTTCCCTAGATGTCCTCTCTGTAAACAGTCGCTTTCTATAAAGCGTTGCGTTCTGCTCTGGGTCTCTGGAATCTGTGTCAACTGTGTGACTTATTTTTTATATTATCTGAAAGGAGCTAGATTTCAGTGAAATGATTGGAAAGGAGAGCAGGAGGTGGCTTTTTAAATTTATGGAAAACTTTGAACAGCAGCATCTGAAATTTGTCATTTTTGTGTTACCCAGAGAATCTGACCTTTTGAGGACATCTGGGAGGATGGGCAGGAAGGGCCAAACATGGAGCCGCCTCCATCACCGGCCATGTACCTAGTGAGGAGAAGTTCCATTTCCACCTGTGTATCTCAGCTAGGTTTTGAGTGTGTGACTAGTATTTTCTTTTTGTTCGGAAATAGATTTTGACATACTCATCCACGAAACACATTTTCATGGTAAAACCTGAATTTTACAGTGGAATTTTTCAAGTGTGAGGTGTCATTTTATTGATGATAACTCAAAGGGAATAAAAAGCTTTTACTCTCTCCTGTCTGTGTCCCTGCCCCCGTTGTATCTTGTGTGTGATGGTAACACCGTAGCCCGGTGTGGGCCTGCCCACACGGTCACTGTCCCCGTCGCCCGCCGGCTCCCTGGGCCCGCACAGAACCAGCATGTGCCACATGCTACCAAGGTGGGACCTGTCTTGGAATGTTCGCATCTGTCCCTCCTTGTCCGTGGAGCCCTTCTCCAAGAACCGCCAGACTGGCTTGTTTCCCTCTTGTTCTCGGAGATGCTCCAGCCTGAGGGGATGCCTGTTTTCCTTCCCACTCTGTCTGTCACGTTCACCCCGTGTTTTTACTCCTCTCGTCACTGACACGGGCCTGTTTACTGTCATAAGCTCCATAGGGACTGTAGCCACCTAGGTATGTCCTTGGCACCTGGAATAGCATCTGGCCCCAGTGCGCACCCAGGAAGGATCTGTGGGCGCACAGACAGGCTCTGCATGTGCTGGCAAGGGTGTCCGAGAAAGGTTTCTGTCTGGGCAGCTGCCTTCTCAGGACAGCGTTCCACAGTTGAGATCAGCCATCCTGACTCTGAGCTTGGAGAGGCCTCCAAGCTTCCAGTCTGACAGGTAGGTTCATGGTTCAGCTAAGGCCATTGGATGGAACCAAAGCTAATGAACATTCTCCCAAAGGCAGCAGGCAGTGGTCCTGTCCGTGGCTCTGCGTGGCTGTCGGCCCAGGGAGCAGCAGAGGGGGCTCACGGTAGCTGGACTGCCAGCCCCACCGGACACCCATGATGGTGGCGAGGAGACGTGGCTTCTGCAGAAAGCACCGCCCCGCGAGTCCGATGCAAGTCCTGGTCGGTGTGGTCGGCCCGGCCCTCCTGACGCGGGCGTGTGGCCAGCCTCTGTGCGAGGAAGGGGCCCTTCGGGAAAGCCACGCAGAGACGACCAGGCAGCTCCCCGTGTGACTCACCCGCGCCGCTTCCCCACGGAAGAGAGTGAACGGCGTGCTGCCGAAGGCTGACGTGCACACACGCAGCAGCCTCTGTTGGGAGAAACCGTTCAGAGCACAGAATGATCAGACAAAAACCCAACTATCCTGTTGGAGAATTGAGAGAACTTTTGTACCTAAAAGAGGCCACTTTGAAAAGCTGATTGATGAGAAAATAGGCTGGGTCCTCCGGTAGAAGGGCTGGGTTGCAGGGTGCCCCGCACCTGCACTGATGCCTCCGGGACGGGGCTCCACGAGCCGGGGCCCCGAGAGCAGAGAAGGTGTGTGTGATGTGGGGACGGTGGGGGTGGCGGGGCTGGGAGCTGCAGCGGCCGAGACGGGAGCCCCACGGGCCCGGAGCAGGCTGCACACGCCCTCACGTGCAGCTTCTTGCCTGCGGAGCTGGTGCGTCTGGTGAAATTGGGTGATTCTTAGTGTAAAAAACGACTTCCAAGATTCCTTGACAGGGTTGAGCATGAGGTTGCCTGCACCGGATGCTGCACATGATGCCGGGACTACAGGGTTAGCAGGGGAAGTGATTTTTGAACACAGGATTTCTATCCTGATGGAAAAGGAACCCTCCTGCCAACCAGGAATGAATCCCAAAGCAAGGTCAGGGGCCTGGCATCTCCTGCATCATCAGGGTGTGCTGCATTGCTGTGGTTCACGGCTGCCGCTTGGAGCCTGGCCATGCCCCGGCCATGGCTCTCCCTGCGCGGACCACCTGGCGCAGTGCCCCTCACACCCCAGTGCCTCCCAGGAATCAGAAGACCATGCGGGGAGGGCGGGAAGAGCTGGGTCCAGGGGATTCCACAGGGCAGCACAGATCGGGAGCAGGAAGCAGGCAGAGCAACAAGGTGAAGGGGTCTACATGAGGGCTGGTACCATGGTCACTTTTGATATTCTAACTTGAGTTGTTTTTAGCAACTTATGCAATCTTCAGATTAGGCAAAATCATTTCCCCCACTAATGTGCAATTTTCAAACATTGATAGTTGCAATAAAAGCCGATTTGGCCTTATAAGTTGCCAGGTATTGGCTATCAATTTTCTTCATACTTATTTTCTTTTGAATCCTTGAAGTTTGTGAAACTGAATGGTAGCTCTTTTGAAATGAAGATTTTTGGTGAATAAGCCCCCTTCCCCTTTACAGTAATCAGCATTTCTCTTGCTGCTCTCTCAATCCATGTGGGATGTGGTTTTGGATCTTCTCTGACTTCTATTTTAAATTTTGATACAAGGGCACCTGAGTGGCTCAGTCGTTAAGCGTCTGCCTTCGGCTCAGGTCATGATCCCAGGGTCCTGGGATCGAGCCCCGCATCGGGCTCCCTGCTCCGCGGGAAGCCTGCTTCTCCCTCTCCCACTCCCCCTGCTTGTGTTCCCTCTCTCGCTGTGTCTCTCTCTGTCGAATAAATAAATAAAATCTTTAAAAAAAATAAATAAATTTTGATACAGAGAATGATACTCTGTGCCAGCATACCAAATCTTGAACCTCGATGCCACGTGTTTCTTCAGACCCTCATACACACGGTTGCCCCTGCTTTGGATGCACCACCTTCGCCCACCTCTCCCATCTCACACACACCTGGGCAATACCTGCGGGGTCTTCCGGGGCCTACGGTGGAGAAAGCACATATTCTCTCTTCCCTGGGTGCGCCAGGCACTTGTCACCTGTTTGCTTTTACTCCCTGAACACCCCGTCGTGGGGGAAATCTCACCAACAGCTGTTTTCCAGAGGTGGAGGGTGCTGGGCGCACACCTGCACCACAGGATGCCCTGGTGTGGCCCGCAGTGATGGGGACCTGGGGAATATCTGTGCACCTGTGCACTGAGGGCTGGAGTAGAGAGAGTGGAGTGCTGCCTGCTGGGCTGCTTGGAAACCTGCCAGACAGAAGAAGCAACTTGGACCGTCCAGGAGGAGTAGAAGAGCTTCCTACAGAACTAGCAGCACCATGATGTTTGACGTGCTCTTTGAATTCGGCACCCGGAAACACTGGTGGCGGGTGGGGTCTGCCCAGGACCGCAGAATCACACGGAATGAGCAGAGGGCGCTTGTGAGAAGCAAGGGTGTCACCCAGCAGGGAAGTGCCGTGTGGGGGGCGCAGCCGTGGGGGGCGGGACAGTTGAGCGGGGCCACTGGAAGCCAGGAGTCTCTGTGGGCTCCTCTGCGGGGGCAAATACTGTGCACCGCTCGGGCTCCTGCTGCATTGAGGAGCTCGTGCTCGTAGGGCAGGTACCACCGTCGTGGGCAAATACGAGCTCAGTCAGTAGTAACCGTTTTCACTCGGGCCAGCATCCTAGGCCTTAGCGGTACTTGGATGTGGAGGAAAGGAGAAGAGAGAGGGCCTTGGGGGGTCGCTCCGCTTCTGAGGAATTGCCGTTCCTCTTCCGAGGCCTGATGCCCACGTCGCTTCCCCTCGCCAGGTCCGCCCCCAGAGTGATGCGCTGGTGAGCCCACTTCCTCCTGTCCCTGCCGGCGGCCTCCGAACTGGGACTCCACTGTCCCTGGAGGGGACTATGGGTATAGTATCGACAGGAAAACCACCAGAGCAGTTACAAAAATGCATGTATGCCATAAAAACTTATATTCTTAACTATGATTTTAGCTCCCCCAAATGCACTGTAGTTCTATCCTCAAGACGAAAGAAGAACAAACAAGTCTTAGTGGTAGTACATTGTGGACTGAGCTGGGGATGGGCTCCAGTTTCCACTTACTTGTGCTGCTAGGGATCTCTGTGATAAAATGTGAGAAATTATCCTGACATTAATCATAACAGAGTGTTTTTCAGATTATACCAGAAATAATAATTCATGAATTAAATTCTGAATACAAATAATGAATAGGCTCTTGTGGTATTTGATAATCTAATTAATGAGAGGAGAGCATCACATAAACATGAAAAATATTTAAACTTATTGCTGATTTGATACAATATCGGTAAACTTAATAAAAGCCTAGAATATGCCATTACGTAGAGGACATTGATGACAAACTGGGGAATGAAGATCATTAAAAGAGCATTTGTATTGTTACAATGTCACTAGTTACTGAGGAAATTTGAAATGCTGTAAATCCCACACTCATGCGAAGAAGAATATTCCAAAATTTGACAATTCTAAAACTTTCATGTCCTCTTCAAAATTATATATCAGCAACTGAAAAACCATTCTA